GCAGGGCTGGAGGTGGGACGTGGTCGCCCCGTCAGGACAGGGTACCCGCGGGATGGGAATGGCCACCTCTACCTTTGCCCCAGGGACACGAGGGGGCGGTGGGCAGGAGAGGGCAGAGGTTTGGCTTTGCCTCCCCTCGCCGCAGCCTGCCCTTGTCCACCTGCAGCTGGCTCAAACGAACCCCCCGAGTTTATTGATGGAAAAGTCGGGGCGGAAAAGGAGATGTGAACTTTGGCAGAAAACGCAGGTTCTGGGAAAACCATCCCTAACTCCCTCAAGAATGTTAAAAAAAAAAAATTGCGCGTGACACACATAGATAAGAAATGATTCACTGAGGTAACTGTCACTGATTTGTGCAAAGTATTGGGACGCATTTTTAACAGTTTTTCTATGAATAGCTCCCGTGTCAGAACCCAGCGCAGGACGGGACTGCACATACTGATGCTCTGACATGGCAAAGGGGTTTCTCCAGCCTTCGCCAGCACGTGCAGACAATCCCGGCTGCGTTACAGCATCCGCTGTGGGCTGATTCTTCCTTACTTTACGCTCTACGTACTGCAGTCCGGGCTCCTGGGCACCGCAGAGGTCATCCCACCTTAAACCAGAGCAGGAAGAGCAGTCAGGTCCTGCTGGGGCAGATGCTGATGCATTTTTGGAGCCATTGAAGGATACTAAGGAAGTGACTCGAGTGTTGGAATTAAGCCCAGATTTGAATTTGGCATTGCCCCTTATTTCTCCGTGGATATTTGCCCTGCTGGGGCTCAGCTGTCCGCCGGCAGCAGACTGAGGACCTGGGTTTCATGAGAAGTCCAACCAGCAGGATGGTGGCACTTCCAGGTGCTGCACGGGGCTGCGGAGGAGCCGGCACAAACACTTGAGCTTCTCCAACCATGGGAAAAGGACACAAGGTCTTTGAGGGGCTGTTGGCAGAGGAAGAGAGAGCCCCAGATGATCTCCAGGGGCTGCCCATGTCCAAAGCTGGTTCTTTCTCCTCACCAACCTGCTCAGCCTCCTCTCCCTCTCCTCCATGTTTGGAGTCCAACCCCCCCAGCCCTCCTCCTGCCGGTCCCAGCCTCTGCTGTGGCAGCGGGGGGCTGAGACATGGCCATAACCATCTTTTTCCACTAGCCACGTGCAGAGATCACAGCAGCCCAGGCCTCACCTCGAGAGTCCACATTTTATGGTCCACTCATCATTTTCACCAGAATGTGGGAAACCCAGGAAAACCCTGGAAAGTCTCCTGTGTTTCCCGGCCAGATGGAGCCTGCTGCAGGACCGTGTGCAGCTCGTTCCTCGGCGCCAGCCTTGGTTTCATAAGGAGATAAAATCTTGAACTCAGCCTGAATCTGTCCGAATCCCTAAAGTACCGTAGGGCAGACGGGAGCGTGCTCTGCCTGCGAGCATCCTTGTCCTTCAGCGTGACGGCGCAGGCTGCACCACGCACAGTTTAACTTTTTTTTTTTCATCCTTCATCAATTAATGTGACTTTTGAACGTTATTCTGCTATGGAATAGACATTTGATCTTTTTCAGGCAGGTAGAGCGTTTACAGGAGAGAGAGGAATAGTGAAAAGAGGAGTAAAACTGCAACTGGGCAATGTTATGGGTACATGTAGACCCACAACAGATGCTATAAAAGATCTGGATCTGGGTATTTTCAGAAGGGCAGCTTATGATCCAGCATAATGCTATATTAATAGACAGGGAGAATGTAGAGCTGTGACAGAAAGATTGACAGCTTTTGGCAGGAGATTTTGTGCTTTGGTGTCTAAATGTACCCCTTGAAATTCCAGTTTAGTCAACTAGGCAAACCTGGGCTGCCGTGCTGAGGATCGGCACCCCTGCTTGACGTCAGCCTCCTGTTTTCACCCTGGGTTTGGTGTTTGGTTTTTTTTTTTGGATTCTGAGCTAAAATGGTCAAGGGTTCAGGACAAACAAGTCTATCAAAACTGGATACGCCCCACCAGAACGGGAAGTGGTAGTTTAGTCATTTTAGTGAATTTGCTGCTGTTGGAGTTGTAGTCACAATTAAGGAATACAGTTTAATTACTTGACTAAATGGAGATGATGTGAATAGTCTACTTAATTCGGTGTGGTACCCAGAGCAGGAGGGATTTGGGGACCACTGTGTGCAACAACTTCTTGCCTGAGAGTCACTTAGCTTGTGAATTTGACTGTTTTGCCCGTGCTAATGCTAAGCATTTGTAGCCTTTGGGTATGTCACTTGAAAAGCCACTCCAGAAGCTACGGTAGGACCAAAGCTTCATCCATTTTGGTGTCCTCTGGTGTCCCTCTGCATCGTGGGGCTCATGGGAGCTTCCCCAGAAAGTTCTGGTCTGGTGCTTTGCAGAGCACCCGTGGGCCTTTCACAATATTATCTAATTATTACTGCCTAATTTAGCAAATACTTCAAAAACGGTGTGGTTGCCTACAACAATTAGTGGTGTCCCTCGTCATGCAGTGATTCATCAGAGCCAAATTAGCTCCGGGCAGGGAGTGAGAGCGGGCGTAGATGGAGGCTGAGAGCGGAGGGCTGGCCCAGCAGCACCAGTACTGGCACCAGATTGCCCAGTGCGGGCACTGGTTTGCCCATCAGGAGCACTGCTTTGGCTATGGCTGGCACTTGGTTGCCCAAGGGCTGTACTGGGTTGCCCATTGGTGGCACTGGGGATTGTCCGTGGACAGGATCAAGTTGCCCAGCAAAGGCATTAGGTTGCACAGAGTCTGTGTTGAGTTGCCCAGGGGTGGCACTGGGTTGCCCACTGAGGGCACTGAGCTCAAAGCACCACAGAACAGCTCAAGTTGACAGAGACCCATAAGGATCACCGAGTCCCACTCCTGCTCCTTGCAGGACTACCGAAAACCAAATTTGGCTCTGAGCATTGTCCAGCCACTCAAGAGTTGCCCAACAGCAGCACCTGCTTGCCCGTGGGCTGCACAGATTTGCCCAGCGAGGGCAGTCGGTTGTCCAGGGCAGGATCTAGGAGGCCCTATGCGGGTATGTTCTTGCCCAGGGGTGGCCCCGCGTTGCCCACGGAGAGCCCTGGCTTGCCCAAAGGCTGCATCAGGTTGCCACAGTGGCTGCAGGGAGTAGCCGGGACAGAACCCGGTTACTGAGCTCCCTGCGCCAGTGGCAACGCTGCGCTGGTTCTGTGACACAGAGCGCACTGGGGATGCTCCAGTGTCTGGCAGAGCTGCGACCCGACCAGACGGCACAGCAGCGAGTAGCAGCCCCCCCGGGCACCCCCGAGCCTCTGCCGGCGCAGGGGACGGACCTTCCGATGGACCCAGACCCGGGGGTCGGGGGCGCCCGTCGTGTGTCCTGTGCAGGGCTGGCAGAAAGTGTCGCCCTGGGGTGGCTTTACCGAGGGGGATGCAGGGCCGTGTGTTTCAGCTGGCAATGCAGGGAAAAGTAACCCCGGTCCATTCCCGAGGGATTTTCCTCCCTTTCTTAAGTGTGTGTCTGTCGGTAGCTGAAGGGCAGGAATTTATTTGCGGGGGCAGGAGCCAGGGAAGCCGTCTCCCCCACTCTGAAAGCTGTTTCTCAGGTACAAAGCAGCGGCACAGAGCTGGGGAAAGCACTGGTGTGTGGGAACCGGCACGCAGAGTGGTTTGTGTTGGACCTGAGCACAGACATTTCGTCCTCGGTTCTGCCAAACTGGCTCGGAGGGTCGTGTTTGCGAAAGCTTTTTTTTTTTTTTTTTACTATTATTATTATTTTTTGCTAAATTTGAGGGTGTGAGTTTCCCCGCTGCCTGTCCCACAGCCTCTTCGGCCAGGCTGGATGCTGGGGCTGAGATTCGGTGCCCGCAGCTCTGCTGCTCTCAAGTCCGGGTACCGGGGCAGCCCCTGCCACCACGGCCAAAATTGAGCAAGGCTTGAAAATACAGTCCTCAAAGTTCCCCGATTTCCCAGCTGCGGGCTGTGCACTTTTGCCTTCTGACTCATCCCTATTTTTCTCTGATTTGCCCTAACTAAAGGACCTGTTATTCTCCCGCATTTGCCGTGCGTTTATTTAATAGCTGCATTTTGAGGGGCTTTTCATCTGAGTGCATCGACCCGTTAAAGGCACGGGTGATGCAGAAAGCCTCTGAGGTCACCTGTCCCCGTAGCTTGATGGTGGAAAAGGTGCAGCTGAATGAGTTGTGTTGTCTGCTCATCACCTGGTGTCAACGAGCACGGCGTTAAAGAGGTCCACCACCGGTGTCCAGGGACAGCAGGTCACAGGCAGAGCCTTCTAAGCTCTCCAGTAGGAAACCAGGACTCCTTGGTCCTGCCCTTGTGTGGAGAGAGGCATTCCTTGTTGCAGAGGTGACCAAAATGACAGAAACTCTCTTTCCCAAGGGTCTGATGATTTTAAACCTAGGACAGCTTCTCTCAGCTCGCCTACGCCTGCAAAGCGATCGGGGGAGCCCAGGAAGAGCAATTAAACCTCTCGTCATGTGGTTGCTTGTGTGGATGCTTTGTTCTGCAATCAAAGAGAGTTTGTTTCATGCAAAGATCCCATTTTTAAGGGAATCAAGTGGATTTCCTGTTGTAACAAATGGGATTTAGCCAATGCTTTGTGGCCAACCCCACTCCCATCCAGGGATCGTGTGGTAGCACACCAGTGTCCTCATCTTTCAGTGGGGCTCCGAGCCAGGCTGGGAGCAGTGGGGATGGGATGGCGTTAGGGGAGGGACACGTCCAGCTGGCTACAACAGCCATGGGGACTTAGTCCTGCCGGTGGGTGACACTTGTAACCTTGCAAGAGCTTCATACCGAGCTCAACGCTCCAACCCTTCTGAGGGTTTGTCCTCAGACCAGGTGCATTAGGTCCATGTAGTGGCCCTCTGCATTCTATTTGTGATAACAATTGACTCAGAACCTCAATCTGAACAGAGCAATAGCACCCGCAGTGCCGTAAGCAGTTCTTGGGAGCAAAATCCTCATGTGTGGCCGTTCCTCCTAGGGCTGCTCCAAGGCTGGTGTTGACAAACGACTCCGAAAAGCTCTTGTGAGACATCTCCTTCCCAAGCGCAGCGATTGTACACCAGGTGAGCCACAGACATTCTTCTTCCTTTACCAGGCAAGAGACGGCTGTTCTTCTGAGGCTGCAATGGGGGAATGGAGGCGGGTGGTTCAACTTTGGCTCTAGTCGTGCAAAGCTCAGCTCCCCCGCAGACTCCTCCCTCGAGCACTCGATGCAAGTGAAGAGAGAGGGGATGAGGACGGAGTCCCTCAGCCCCGAATGGCGCTGGGCTGGTAGCAGCTGTGTGTGCAAAGGGGCGCAGCTCTCGGGGCTGGGCACGGAGCTTTTACAGAGCAAGTGACATCTGGAGCGCTCTGAGATGAGCAGAAGAAACAATCGCACAGCAGAGAATCAGGTTCCCCTGCGCAGCCTTGGTTGGTTTTGCTCTGCCTTTCCGGCCCTGACGCTCCATACTAACAGCAAAGTCAAATCCTTTTCCATACAGCAATGCTTGGGATGCTGTCAGAGGGGAGTTGCTCTCCAGAGCTCTAGGCCTGTGCTGGGGATGCGTGGGTGCTGTCTGCATCGCTCTGTGTGTTACAAGTTGCATGTGTCGCTGTCAGAAGTAAGGCGAGGAGCTTACTGAGTGAGGTTGTCTTCTCTCTCCTCCTCTCTGCAGGACACGGACCGGAGCAGCGGTGTTCCACAATGGACCCTCTCAGCTCTCCCTTAACGGCAAAGTTTGCCCATCCCAGATCCATCCCTACCAACTTTCTCCCTGCCATCAGCC